CCTTGAGTTGCATAACTTGCATAGCATTTTTTAGGCTGGTGATCTTTGTCTCAAGCACAACAACCTTAGCCTCCATTTTCTTCAGTGGTACTTGCTAGTTACGATACTAGAATGTCACTGTCCCACTGGATCAGGCAGGTCGGACCAAATGTTAGACACCCAAAATATAGAAGACTAATGGGAAAATAAGAGATTATATGTATTATTCCTCAAAATGAAGTAGAAAGATAGCCACAAACAAGCTCCTCCTGAGATTAACACCCCATGGCCATAACAGAATTCTAAAAACCTCTCTCCTCACTCTCCTTCCCCTATATTCCCCTACTTCTCTCACTCATTAGTTAACTCTGTTACACCCTTTGCCACAACATTTCCCACCTCAGTATTTCTCTTCACACTCTTGTTTGTCCTCTTCACACTCTTGTCTGTCCTCTCATCCATGGGCTGTCAGTTTGATATTGAATATAAGCCAAGTAGATGCTCTCTAACGCAGATATGGTGAAGTCGAATTGCAGCAAGTAGTTCACTATCCTAACTGGGATGGAGTTTAGGCAATAGTGGAAGAGGTGCATGAAGATACAAAGCTGATGTCCATTATATTAAATTTGAATAGGACAGGGATTCCAAACCAAGATTTGAATAGAAAAAGGGGAATGTTGTTTTATGAGGGGAGGTTAGTATTGTCTTCTAACTCCACGTGGATTCCCAAGATGCTGCAGGAATTCCATGAGACTCCTCAAGGGGGTCACTCAAGTTACTATCGTACCTATAGGAGGTTGGCTGCTAATGTGTTCTGGTTTGGTATGAAGAAGACAGTCCAGCAGTTTGTGATGAATTGTGATATGTGCCAAACACAAAAATACTTGGCTGCTGCCCCAGGAGGATTGCTTCAACATTTGAATATTCCCAAGTTGGTATGGGAAGAAATCTCTGTAGATTTCATTATTAGAATCAAGTGTGAATTGAATCCCACATGGAATGGGATATGAGTAAGTTAGGAGTTTATAAGGAGATGGATCCATGTACCCATTGCCCTAAAGTTTAGGGGTTACATTGTGGTATCCTACTCATTGTAAGGCTTCCTACCTAAATACTCCCCAACCCAACATTCATAACTGGTTTAGCTAAACCCAAGGGTTATGCTGCAGCTATTTTGGTGGCAGTTGATCAGCTATCCAAGTATAGTAATTTTATTCCCTTGAAGCATCCCTATTCGGCTCGTGTATTGGCTGAGATTTTTACTCGTGAAGTGGTGCAATTACATGGAATTCCAGCTTCTATAGTCAGATAGGGACCCAATATTTGTGAGTATTTTTTGGAAAAAGTTGTTCAAGCTTCGAGGAACAACTTTTTGAGTACCCCTTATCACCCACAAACAGATGACCAAACTGAAGTGGTCAATCCTCGTCTGGAGACGTTTCTGCATTGTTTCATGGTAGACGAACCAAAGCAATGGATGCATTGGCTTTCGTGGGCTAAATATTGGTATAACACCAATTTCCATGTTTCCACTGGGAGAACACCTTTTGAGGTTGTTTAAGGCAGAAAACCTATGATAACTCAATTTCTACCTTGAGAGGTAAGAGTGGAAGCAGTAAAAAGGGAGTTGATGGACAGAGATGAAGCTCTCATACAATTAAAGTATCAATTGTAGCAGGCCCATAATAGAATGAAGGACCAAGCAGATAAGAAGAAGACAGATAGTGAGTTTGCAGCAAGGGATTTTTTATTTCTCAAGCTTCGACCCCATGGACAACTAACATGGGGTCTCGTATTAATCCTAAGTTGGCTGCACATTATGGACCATTTAAAGTGCTGGAACGAGTTGGAGCAGTAGCTTATAGGTTGCAGTTGCCTGACGCAACCAAGATACATCCTATTTTTCATATATCTTTACTTAAGAAAGTTGTTGGGAATTATAATGTGCAAGATGAACTTCCTCAGGAATTGGCTTGTGATGATGGAATAAGTTTTGAACCAGAAGCTATGCCAGCAAAGAGGCTGATCAAAGAGGGAGAGGACTTTCTTAGTCAAGTGCTTATCCAATGGAAGGGCAAAGGATTGGAAGATGCCACGTGGGAAGAGGAATTTAACATCAAAAGTCAGTTTCTTCATTGAGCTTTGAGGACAAGGCTCCTATTGAAGAAGCAGGTATTGTTAGGATTGGGAATATGCGCTTAGACTTTGAAAATAGGCCCAAGATTTGGAGAGTGTATGAGAGAAGAAACAAGGATGTGAAGAGGGATGCTGAGGTGGGAAATGTTGAGGTGGCAAAAGGTGTAATAGAATTAGCTAATGAGTGAGAGAAGTAGGAGAATATAGGAGAAGGAGAGTAAGGAGAGAGGGTGTCTAGATATTTTGGAATTCTATTATGGCCAAGGGGTAGTGTTAACCTCGGAGGAGCTTGCTCGGTGGCTATCTTTCTATTTCATTTTGAGGAATAATACATAGTCTCTTATTTTACCTATATTCTTCTATATTTTGGGTCTCTAACACCAGGTAATGTTGGAAACCAAGAAGAATAGCCTCCGCTTCATTCACATAAAAATTCTAAACTCAATCATCATATTGAATATGACTGTGCCCTCAAATATAAAATTAAGATCAGTTAACCAATGTCAACTCTTAGTCTTAATTTTATGCATAAAAAATTATTGGTGAAGTAAATATTTATTACACTTTTTAACTTTTTAAATAATAAATGCTTACTTCTCTAATAAAATCTTACCACTTTTGAATGCTTAAAATCAGCTGCTTTATCGTTAACAAAATTGATATAAGAATGCAAACACACTCCACACATAGAGGGGCTACATGCCAAAGGATGCAAGGCAGAAAGAGGGTCAAGTTCTAGCAAAAAGTGAAAAATGGTTCCAATGAAGCAGTAAACTTATGCCAGGGAGGAGGACTTGTGATGCAATAAGAAACATTCGGTAATTGATCTTTGACTGGATGAGGCTGATGCTCATCCAGCTTGGGTTGTGGTGCAGCTACTCCTCCTGCCATTCTTCTTATTGAACTCAAATGCCACCAAAAATCAAACTTCTCAGAACCCAACAAAGCAAAAAGCCAATGCTTTAACAGACAAAAAAAATGTTTTTCCTACATTAACTTCTCAACCACAAAAGAAGTTAGGCAGCACTGACAAAGACACCAACAAAACCAGCTGGAAGAAAACTACCACAGCTGGATGCTTTTCCCAGTGAAATGTGGAATGATCAGAAAGCAGTGGCAATGGGAAGAAATGGCAGAGAAAAACAAAAGAAGCTCTCGAAGAAAAATGAACATTTTCTTCCCTCTTTGGAAATTCACAAACAAGTCCAAGGGAGACAACTTGTCAGCAACGTAATGCAATGCAGCAAATGTTGGAGGATTTCTTTGCTCAAGACCCACTTGGAGGCTAAGAAAACATGAAAAGTGAGTGTGAATATGTGGAAGAAAAGGAAAAAGAGGGAGCCAGCTCTTGCTAAAGCAAGAAAGAAACCAAAAATACAAAAGAATCTCCTAGTTCCATATTGCTTTACAATATTGTAATCCAATATTTAATGCTTATAATAGCAGTGCTTTTCTTTTCATTCAACACAAAGATAATGTTTGCATCAAAGCATCTTGACCTTCACTTTATTTACCTCAAATTTACTATTTAACTAATAACAATATTTGCAAAAAAATAATAATAATAATCATAAAAACAATGTAGCTAACAAGAAGTAAAGGAAGAACCCTCTCTCTCACCACCCATTTCAGTTATAACCAATTTTACACAGAAGAAAGCTTACCATCTTTTAACTTTTTACTCTCCTCTCTAGTACATGTATTGATGAGTACTACTGACTGCAAATGATCAAAAGCTCTTATATTTTGCTTTGACTCAGTGTCTGTTTGGTTGTTAACTGTGACTTTTACTTTGACCCAAAAAATAAACAAAACAAGGAGTTTTGTATATGGTTGCAGGTTTTGTGTGATGGTTTAGTCCATTTTTATTTCACATACAGTCAAACCTTCACACATAGGTCTCTTCTCTCTCACTTCTGTCAGTGTCTATTTGCATGACCTATTAAATCCCTCACAGTCATTGGCAATCTTATTTATCCAAGAATAATTTAAGTTATAGTTAATTCTCTTTGATTAACTAACAATATCCAGTTGTGAGAGGAGAACTTGATGCCCACAAAAACTCTCCTTTGATAGATACTTGGTTAAGTATTTACTTTTGAATTAAGAAGTATGCAAGTTATCAGGATATTTTGAGTGTATCATGATTTATGAATAAATATGTTGCACCATAGTGGTTTTATCTTTTCCACCATCTCAACAAATTAAAAACATCATTATTACACTTTCTTCACCCAATGAAGACATTTTTTTCAATCAACCATTGTAAGGTTTGGGATCTATCAATTGGTTATTATGCTTGGAATCATTTAAACAAGTTTTTCAAACAAATGTTCTAATCCAAGTTGACACGAGGAGTGATTCATGCTGTGATGTAAATCAAGCAATGCTTGTTTATCATGGGGCTTATGAGATTGTCATGAGCATTGTTTCAAGAAATTGATACAAACATAAGAGGTTAGCATTAATCACCAATAAATACCAGAATTTGAGAAACTTTCAATTATTTGTCTTGGGGCTATAAATCAGGACCTATGAGACATGTTGATTATTTCTAGAATTGCAATTGTTGAGTATGATAAGAGTTAAAGATGAAGGTAAAAATGAGATTTCTTCCTTGGTACATGGATGCATCATTGCATCTTATTCTCCCTGGTAGTGGTACAGCATATAATTAACCTTGGAATATCAACTTTATCAGATGTCTTAAATTCGAGAATTTGGGATTCAATGATAGTCATGTTCTGCCCATCATAATATCAAAACAATGAATAAACAATAAAGCATTTTCATCATCATTTATAGGCGGGGCACTAAACACAAATATATCATGTAGTATCACAAGTCAGATTATTTTGGGTTTGGGAAGAAAAATATTTGAACTAATCAAAATCAATTGACTCAATTTTCCAATTTTCCACTTTTGTCAAACCTAAACCAAATCAAACGGATGAACAAAGGTTGATTTGGTTTAGTTTAAGTCAATAATAACACATTTCTTTTAAAAATCATATTAACAACAGGCCAGAATTGTAGTGCTGAAGCAGACTTGGTCCAGCAGCTGCAAGGACAAGATGCAAGGGACGAAGGCAAGACACAGAACCAGAACATAGCAGAACCTCCATATTGGACCAACACAGAGCACTAAAGACAATGACTGAACCTCCAAATTAGACCAGAACAAGGATGACAACAAAACAAAGACCCTACAAGTCTAGACTAATATCAACCATTTTCACTTCCAAAATAATACTTTATATGAGTAGAATGATACTCTGTTTGAGTGTTTATCAATAATTATCAAGAGATCTAGAGTGAATTACTTTCAAATAAAAAATTATCTCAAAGAAAGCAGACAGTACAGGACTCTGATTACAAAAATAGATAGGCCTTCAATATACCATTTTAAAGCAAACTTAGTTTGTTCTGGGTGTGGCCCATTCAACTCTAAGGATGAGATTGTCATAGCCATATCCATTGAGTTTGTTGATAGCTCTTTGTGCATCTTCCCTGTTGACAAAGTTAACAAAGCCAAACCCCCTACTCATGCCAGTCTTCTGATCAATAGCAACATATACTCTGCTCACAGGACCAAAAGGACGGAACAGCTCAAGCAAATCAGGCTCTCTTGTGTCCTCGGAGAGGTTTGTAACCCGGACAGAATTCTCATCATTCCTTCGTCGCATATCTGATCCAGTCCTCTCAGCACCTGCTCTCATTCCAGGAGGCACATACGCTGCCTTGGTTGAACCAGTTGTGGCAGCCACAACATCAGATGCCGCAGGCTTATCGACAAATCCCTCAGATGGTGGGGCAAGATCCTTGTATGGACACCTTGAAGTCCAGTGATCACCTTTCTTCCCACAAGTCCTGCAGACCATGAGAACAGCACCTTTTTGAAACTGAGCCAATGGATCTCCAGCAGTCTTCAGCTCTTCCGTTTGAGCACCTGTTTACAATCAGATATATTAAACATCAACGGTAGACTAATCCTATGATCCTCCATGATAGCAAGACTACAATTACTCAAAGAATCTTTCACACCTTCATTCACACAACCAAAGTTAATTAGAAAAACCCATTAATTTATTCTCCAAAGTAGGCAGATTCATACAAACATTCGTTTAACAAAACCAAATTGAAAGGCCATAATAATGCAACAAATAGACCCACATCACGTCCTCCGGTGAATCATAAATTAAATATGCAAATAAAAATCATTACTTCTAATTATAGTTAATTTACATCCTAATCCAAGAATGGCACGAGCAAACAGCATTTAGCAACAACATTAACACAATCCAGAGGCACAGATAAGAATCAATCAAGGCACTAATTCTAAAATTTCTAGTGAAATAAAAAAACCTAGAATCCCTGGAAAGGAGACGTTAGAATCAGTGGAGGAAACATATTTAAAATTAAGAAAATTAGAGAATGGAAGAGAGGGAGAACCAAGAGGCTTGGGACGCTCAAGAAGGATCTCTTCGGTGGAGACCATGGTGAGGCGGCTACCGACGTCTTCGTGGACGGCATCGCCGAACTTGGGCCAAGAGCGTCTCTCAACGGCGCGTTTGCTGAGACGGGCGTTGGCGAGTTTGCGGGTGCGCGTGGTGGTGGTGATCTTGACCTTGTTTCCATCGTCGTCGAACTTGTACTCGATGACTTTCTTAATGCCGTTTTCGTCAGGGCCTATGACTTGCCTTGGCGGCAGAAGAAAGTCAAGATCTTCTCCATCATCCTCTTCGAGTTCTCCCCATCGTAGCTTCATTGGTTCTCCTTGATGTGCCATCGTTACCTCAATTTCTCTTCTCTGTTCTCTGCTTCAAAAGTCGACTCACACACCGAGTCATAACCAGTTTTGCTCCTAGTCTTACCTTGTTCACGACTTGCTGCTAAGTTTGAATTGGTAAATTGAATTTTTAGCCAAAACTGATTTTAAAATTTTAATTTTTAGCAAAACTCGATTTTAAATGTTCTTTTAACCAAAACTGGTTTTATATTTAACATTTTAATCAAAAATGAATTTGAATTTTTTTTCTTTATTTTATAAAGATGTAATGTGATTTTTCTTTAAAATTTTAAAATTATATTTGTTTATTAGATTGATTTGAATAGTAAGTGGTTATGTATAATTTAATAAAAAATTTTGGATTTAAATTTTTATGCATACAAAAAAGTTTTAGTAATAAATTTATTCTGCACATCCAAAAAAATTAAATATTTTTGGTTAAATAATTTATAATTCTTTAACTCTGATAAGAAAAATTGCAATGACTAATCTTACGGGTAAATATAAATTTATTTACCCTTATATTTTTTAAATAATACCATTTTTTTCTATTTTCTAATTCAATTTTAATTAAAAACTTTATATTTTTTTACTTTAAAATTTTTACCTATTTAATTTACTAATTTACTATAATAAAATATTTATTATTAATTTTAATTAATAAAAAATTTATTTTAAATAATTAAAATTTATATTTTAAAATTTATATAATTTAATAATTTAAAAATATGTATAAAAAGATTTTGAATTTTTTTATAATTTAACACTTTTTTTTGCAATGTACGAAAAAATATACTTTTTTTAACACCACATCATATCCAATATTCTAAACTATTTATGTAAATTAACTTTTATATATAATTTATGAGTACTCATTTTTAAATATAATTTTTTTTAAAATTGTTTTTAAATTAAAATATTTTTAGGAATTATTTTTTATTTATATCTAAAAAAAATTCTATCTTATATATTTAATTTTATTTGTTGTATTATTTTTTTATAATTTATTTTTAATTTTATTTTAAATAATAGAATATTTATTATTAATAATTATAATGTTTAATTTTAAAAAATTAAATATAAATTATAATATATTCATTATTTCTTTAAATATTTAATTTAATTTAATATTATTCATATAATGCATGAAAATATTACTAGTTCAATTTAAAACCAAAATGTATATTTGTTTTTTCAAAATTGGTTTAGTTTTCCCTAAACTAGTTTATGAACAAATTCTATTTTTAATTAAACTAATTTTAAAATTGATTTTTGTATAAAACTTGTTAGAAGTTGAAATTTAAAAATCAATTGTAAATTCAATATTGTTTTACTAGACAACATTGACTTCTCGTAATATTTCTTTGCCTAAAATGAAATTTTTAAACAAGGTTTGAAAATATTATTGCATAAGTTAATAAATGAGAAGAGTTTTCTATTTTTAAAATTAAAATATAAAATATTTATTTTAATTTTTAAAAAAATCTTTTTAAAAGAGAAATTAAACATACTCTTAATTCATTAGCATAGATAGTCGTTGGATAGCTGCAGTTACACGGATACAACTTGTGCCGACCCGACTCCTTTTAGCAAAAGCATGATCAAGAGTATTAGTTAGGAAATAAGTGTGAAGCATGTGGTACTTCTACTCTCATTTGTGTTGCGCAATTCAAGAGGGAGCATCCACCACCCTTATTTCTCTAAGATTTCTCAGTCTTCTCCATCTTCCACACTCTCAATGTACCTCTGAACTATCTACTCTTGTTCTTATCATATTTCTTTCTCAATTCATTTCCCTTTATCTGTATTTTCCCATTTCATCTCTATACTTTTCATTATCTATTTACTAATATATTATTCACACTTTTATCTCTTTATTTTACTCTAGTTTCATTATTATATCATACATCATTCAATCATTGCTGAGAGTTAGTCCCTTCGGACTTAGTCCACCACATACATGCATATACACTCAAATCAATGATCATACACTTCATCAAACACTACAAAACATGCTTCAAACATATCAAAAACACATTCTCATCCAAAATACACTCAAAATCATGCATTTTATCACAATCTTTTCATGAATACAAACATAACACTTTATTGGTAACAAAATAAAGCTCTCCTTACCTTGAAATGGAGGTTTAGTAAAGGGTTTTTGAGGATTCTTGCTCAAAACGTAAGGTTCTTCCTAAGTATCACAAGAGACCTCATTTAGAGAAGGAGAATCAAGAAAATAACCACAGAATAGAGAACCAATCTTCAAAAACTTACCAAAAGGCAAGGGAAGTGATCTTCGAGACTTTGATCGTAGAAAAGTTGGGGTTTTCCAAAGATTTATTAAGAAAATGAGGAGAGAAGTCAAAGAGAACGTATGTGAGTCGTAACTTGGATTATAATCAAAGTTTCTTATCCCTCAACTTGCGACATTCTCGCTACAACGAGACTTTCTCTCGCTATAGTGAAAAAATCAGACAAAATTGCACTTTGTTGTCTGTCATTCTAGCTACAGCGAGAAAATTCTAGCTATAGTGAGAGAGCACCAGAATGTCTGTTTTTGGATGTTGATTTTTTGCTACAGCAAGACACATCTTGCTACAACGAAAAATCCTGCAACTCACACATCTAAAACTTTCCTAATTTCAAGCAACATACATTAACAACTCATATCAAGTATAAAATTAATAATTAATAAAATAAGGGTGTTACAGTTGACAAGGACTCTTTTGCAAATAATATCTCCTAATTTTATCTCTATCATTTGGATAATAATATGATATTTTTGGCCTCAAACCATGATCATTAAGAAGTTTTTCCAAATCAAATTCCAAAAATCTTTTTTTATTGGTTGGACCCAATATTCTACTTCTACATTCATCAAGTGCTTGAGGAAAAGATGATTGTTCTGATGTTGATTTTCTTTTGAAAAATCTTTCCATTGTTAGAAATAAAATTAATATAATTATAATTAATTTCATGTTCATAAAACTAAAATCAATAATAAAGATGATAATATTTTACATAAAAATAACAATAATAAATAAACTAATACAAGTAATCCACTAATAAAGTAGAACAAATCAAATATGCAAATAATATAGTGACTAAAAAGTAACAAACGCAATGGAACAACTGTTGAACAACTCACAACTTGTTGGATAGAAATTTGTTTATCTAAAACTGAAGCTTTGACAAAAAAAAATAATCTACGTAACCTAAGAGAATAAGACCTATTGTGTTGCTGACTTGTTGCATCCTGTAGAAGAAAGAAAAAACCTTGTTAACATTTGAAAAAAAGCAATTGAAGTGAAAGAATTAGAAAGAGAGGCATGCGCACGTTAGATACAAAACGTGAGTTTTGTTATGTATACTTAGTTGGCTTGTTAGAGAAGTTTTGTGAGATATAAAACTGAGTGACATTAAAGTAATTTTAGTAAAATTTGTAGGCAATTCTTCAATATAATAAAAAGTGATTGACGTTGTTTCTTTGACAGTGTGAGGGCAAATAAAATATTATATATATATATATATATATATATATATGTGTGTGTGTGTGTACAAAAAAGTCAAAACATAGTGGGGGCAAATTGAATTCGTCCTTGCACTCATGCACAATCCTGTAAACCCCTTAGTGTCTCACGTCAAGGTTAAATGCATGCTAAGTGAGATTTTAAGTGTGGAATTTTAAAGTTAATAGAGGTAGTCCAAGAGTGCATATTTCTTTCAAGTATACTAAGTGACTTTAATACATGCACAAATAAGATTTTTAATGCATTAGTGGAAGGAAAAATGAAGAATATTGGTCAGTTAAGCAATATTAAAGGATGAGAAGGATAAGGATTCTCACTCATAAATAACTCAGAAGGATGGAGTTTGATGATTAATTTAATCAAAATTATATGAATTAAAATATTAAGGTAAGTTCCTAGGGGTGTGCGTGAAAAATTCTTGCATTAAAAGGTAATATTGCAATTAAGAGGAATAATTCTGATATAATTACTGCAAGCACACTAAATCAGAATGCTAAAAGGAGTTTCTATAACTTAAGGTACACTATAAAATAAAAATAGCTAAAAACCTAATGTTTCATGCAATTCACTTCTCAAAATCTCATAATCAAAATAAAACAATAATTGAGTCAATTAAAAGGCAACACAAGAATGAAATAAAGTGAAGAATTTTTTTTCCCACAAAATAAGTTTCTAATTACTTCTATAACTTAAAAAATTAAGTTTATAAAATAAGAGGTGTTACAAGAAAAATTTAAAGGACAATAAAAGAGTAACTAAATAAGTATAATTATTATATAGAGCATGTAAATAAATATAAATAAATAGAGCGCTTTTTTTTTTTTTTTTGGGTTTAGACTTCGTGTATCTTCCATTGTAGACATATTTGAATCAGGTATAGTTATTATAGGTAACAAAACTCTCCCAGTGAGTATTTAATACAACTACATTTATTTAGAATTGAACTAGAGACCATATGTAAAGTTATAATAACCTATGTCACTTAATCTATGTCTTTGGTGGTAAATAGAATATAATTATGAAATGAATTAATAGAACATAAAAGAAGAAATATAATAAAATATTAAATGAACCATTTCATAGCTAAAGTCAAATTTTTAAATAAAAATTACATTAGAAAAATAAAATTTTGAATTCAAATGCAAATAAATTAAAAAATTTGGATAACTTATGAAATTTATTCAACAAATTTTGTTGAGTTATGTTACTAAAAATAAATTTCTTAAATTATGTAAAATAGAAAAAGATAATATGCGACCATCACAAAATTAAATTAAGCAATTTTAATAGCTTTTATCTTTAAAATTGCTCTACTAACTTTCATGTATGGAAAGGAGAGGAGACAAAGAGAAAGAGAAAGTTCAAAACTATTTAATTTTATTTATTTAAATAAATAAAAAATATAATTTTCTTATTCATTTAATTGAAATATATTTTTAATTTTATTTTTTTTATCCAAACAAAACAAAAGTGGAAGAGAGAGTAAACAATATAGAAATAAAAATCAGTTTTATAATTTATTAAAGAGTAAATATATAAATGATGTAAAAAAAAC